ATATATATATATATATATATATATATATATCACTTTAATATCAGAACAAATAGAAGTCGATATCGATGCATTGAACATACTTATATGGCTACATTGCTATTCACTTTTTCTTCTATTTCCTTTTTAATGTCTTCTCTGGCACGATATTGCTACATGTGTTAGCAAATATGAGATACAACTTAATGGGAAATTGTTGGGAGACAGATTTAACTTGATCTCATGCTCTATGCTCTTGGCCACTGGGGACTCACTACCTGCAACAGTCAAATCACAACATTAAATTCCATTTCAATTTTGATAAACAGTGTATCGTGATGAGCATGACTGGCAGGACATAAAAGATTAATCATCTAAAAAAATACATGTGATCCTCTGTCGTCTTCTAATTACTATTTTTGTGAAGTTTAAAAACCCAGTAAACAAATCAATGTGAGATCCATGTTCCTTAAGTTGACCATATATTGATCCATAGACAAAAAAACGCTCAAATATGTGAAGGTCTCCATGGTAATAGTTTCCATACATTGATCGTCAATTTAAATCGCTAACCTCAAGTGTGCTAAAGACTAATCGCATTCGGCTAGCAACAACTGACGGTTTCTCCGCTTGGCCCATCACAGCCGTCTGTTCTAGTTGAAGAGTCTTTACGGGAAGCCTTCAATAAACACAAACAATACTTTCAAGTTCCAAAATATGCTTGTTACTTGTCAATTTTAATTAATAAATAATGCACTATAGCCAGCTAAGAGAACAAAATGAGATAGACTCTTAAAATGGTAGCAAGTAGCAACAACAACGATTCTGGTGGATTATATTCTTTTGGGGGCAAGAAAACATACTGCTAGAAACATAAAACAGGAAAGAAAATAAAAATTTAGAGAAGAAAAAAATGCAAACATGGCATCTCACCAAGCCATTCCCTTCATAAAATATGCATTTGCTATAAGAGCACAAAAGCCTTTCCACTGAAGTCGCACTTCATCTGACACCGGAGGTGTAGATGACCATCTAACAATAGTTGGCTGGGGCGTACACAAGATGGTGATGAATATAATGCTTAACCAGAGAATGCATTCATCAACCTGCATGATACAGATCATTAAGAACAAGGAAACTGATTTAAACCGAATTCATGATCAACAAAGTATAGTTAACATTATTGGGTGATACAAGTGATACCAACTTAGTTTGGTCATATATCATAGAGCTCATAGAGGAGAGGGGTTTTATAAAAATAGAATCATTGATGGATTAAGATAATTGATACAAAAGGAGAATATATGTTGGGATATAAATAAAATTTCACATTGTTAAAATATATACATATTTCATTAGTTAAGAGATCTTTTAAAAGATGACAAAACTGAAAATCTGAAGTGGACAATATATATCTTCTTAAACAAATACCATTTACATAACCATGACAATATGTATTATTTAGTTACTACTAAGTGAACTAACAAACTTAACTAACAACTATCAATTGTATAATTTCTGATGTTGTTTGCTTCTAGAATGCTCAGGATTGAAACGTTCCTGAAATAAATCAAAGAGGCTGGCTAGGCAGGCTTTGAAACACTGACACGAGCACAAAGAGGCAAGTCTGTGTCTTTATAAATCTGATGGACTGAAGGGATAAAATCAGCTCCCTCCTTTACACAAACACAGCTCTTACAATTTACAATCTTCTTAAGGCTAATCCTCTCAATAAATTCTTGTGATAATCATGATTCATGACTTAGAACTAGCTGGTTAAAATGGAAGTAGAATTGACCTCCTCTGAGATGATCTTAGATTTCAAGCTTGTGCTTCCACCATAACTTTGCATTACTTCAATTTCAATCCCAGAGTTCTTCATATCCACAAGTTCTTTCCTTAACCCCTCATCTGTGCATCCGAGCGCATAAGCATTTACCCCAGCAGTGATGAACTCCTGAGAGTAACACAAACTGGTAATTGGAATATAAAGAATTGGAAAAAAACCAATAAAGGGTGTAAAGGAAGCATGTCAATGGAAATACTTTTAGGTTGTCAACTCCACCACGATCAATGAAGTTCCTGTATCGCCTGAACAAGCTGATGGCTATGTTGCGCGAAGAACGATACTCATCATCAGATGAAATGGATTCCTGTAACCCACACTTCACATGATGCCAAAACATACCAATCAGCAAGAGCAATGATAATTGAATAATCAACTAAACTAAGTAAGCCAATGAAGCTGCAAGCATACTTACTAGCCATTTATGTGTGGCAACATGATGGAATAGATGAAGACTCTTCTGCAGCTTATCACATTTCCCAGAGAAGGAGGAACTATGAAATAATATATTACTACAAGGACTGCCAAAAGGTTTAGGATTACAATTCACCGAATTAACATTATTATTGATCTTGCATGGATAAGTTTGTTGAGCAGAAGCTGAATCTTGGTATAAATGGCACTTTAGAATAGCTCCAGGAGCATACACCGTTAGCATGTTTGAACCATTATATTGATCCCTTCAAAATAACCAATAAATAAATGAAAAGAGGTTGGTTAAACAGAAGAGGAATAAAATAAAGAATAGGGGTTGGAGAGGGAGAGTGATACCTTGTGGAGGGTAACCATAGACTTAGCTGATGCACCAAACAGAGATAGCAAATGAGAAGAAAGAATTTAGAAAAGTATCTGAGAAACGGGGCTTCAGCGGAACCACGAATTGTATGAATGGTTTATGGCTACCACAGATCGCTTTCAACTCATAATATCATAAATCCTTGGCTGCCTTACTCTGCGTAATAGACAATACTTACGTATCCAAAGTCCAACCATCAACAGGGTTTTATTAAAATTACTATTATTCATTCCAAACATGTCTCGCAGTTTTCCCATCACCAAAAACATTGCTAATTTCGGTAATTTGCTTATATATTATTTTTCTGGTTAAATTTAATATATTATTGATGCCAAAGTAATTTATCAAATTAATAATAAAGTTAAGAGTTTGTTTTTAACTTAATTGCACCTTTTCGTGTACCATTTCGAATTTTCCCCTCATTTTTTTTTCATATATTTTTTTTTCTAATTTTCAAAATGTTGCTAATTTTGATTCGGGTACTTAAATGCCACAAATAATACAACTTGTAACATTTTAAAGAAATATCTATTATAAAATTATCTTAATGGTACTAATTTTGTGAGGTTTACATGAGAGAAAGTGCTATTAATTATTTTTTATTTTATTTTATTTTACTTTTTATCTCGCAAGTGAGAATTAGTCTTACAAGTCACAATATACCAATAAAAATAATTTTGTAGACCATTTCTTCCACCCTAATCCTCCTCCCACTTACAAGATATTTCTGTCCATTTTGGCAATTTTTTTTCTTCTAATTCCCCCTTAATTTGTATTTTTGACGGGCCACTAATAAGAAACGCGTCCTTAAAATAAAATAAATGCATATAATAAATGAGCGACGGATGCCCATTCTTAAAATCAATTGGAATTGTTTATGGGTACATTAGAATTGGGATGTGATGGTGATTCGTAATAAACTTAATGGCAAAACGTATTAGATCGGTAAGCTTGTTTAATAGGTATGATTTATGAATACGAGTATAGGCAATTATTTGTAAATTTTGATGGGAATGGAAGTATTTTAATATCTATCTTGCTCCTCTATACTTCTCATATAGATAATAAAAATAAATTTAAAAATATGAAATGTTGAATATTGCTTAATTATAGTTTTAATAATGAAAAATTTTTAGTTTCAAGTTCTAGAATAGAAAAGTTTATATTTATATATTAATAAGTTTGTTCAAGTGTTTAAGCAATATTTAAATCTAATTACAAGATTACATGAACTCATGATTCCTTTAAGAGTAGAGGAGATTCACTAAAGATATATCTATTTCAAGTAAGATGATAAATATCTCAAGTATTTGAAGATCAAGTCAAATATTAGAAGGCTTCAATTAAAACAAAGCCTTTCAAAATATTTTTATTGAAGACCTTGCTTATAAAAGCATAAAGTAAAGCCTTACTTAGAAGATACTTCATTTGTAAAAACTGATTGAATTAGAAAAAATAAAGTACAATAATGTCAACATCTAACTTAAAAAAATAAGCTAGCCACAATGAATCTTTCTCTAAATGGCTATAAAGGGAAGACAAAGGTCTCATTTTGAAACAAGTAACATAAAAAAGAGAAATCAACTACTCAAACAAAATAAGTTACCATCCTTACTTCATACTTTGAATTTTTCAAAGATTTCCATTTCATAACTGTATACTTATTTTGTAATAGAAAATAAGTGTGAAACCTTCCTTTGTAGAAGTTCCAACACAGGAGAGATATTTGTGGTCTTTGCAATCTACAAGAACACAAAAAATCCATTATTGTAAACACTCTCCCTACCTAGTTGAGTGTGTAGTGGTGTAGGGAAGTAGAAAGAAATCACAATAAGTGTTGTATAGTCTCATAGTAGGTGATTGGGGGTTGTTTTCTCAATAGGTTGTTAAGTGGGGAAATCTCAACAAATGATTGAGTGTTTGCTACTAACAATATGTAGCTGTATAGTGGTGATTTGCATCAACAAGTGACTGAGTTCTTAAATAACGTTTCACTGTGTTTTTAGTGAAAATCTTACAAGATTGTGTGAGGATTGGATGTAAATCAATTGGAATGAATCAATATAAATCTTGAGTTTTATTCCCCCTCTCTTTCTCTCTACTTATTTATTTAACTAGCTATATTCATTATTACACTGTTGCATAATCTGAATCACAAACAAGTAAACTTAGAAATTGTTTTGAGAAAATATGCCCCAACTCTCAAAAGGTTACTCCTTTGAATAGAAGGTTTTTCAAAAGAAAAAGATTTTTAAATAGATAACTATTCAAACCCTCTTCTTGTAGTATAACATTCACTTCATGAAATTTGTGGTTGGTAATTGAATTAGTGGTGGAGTTTAAATCTAACTCAACTCTATAAAACTAACTTGTTAGGTGAAAATTGTCACTTGTCCTTCACTTATAAATCTTTTATTTATTTTATTTGTAGTCGATATGAGACTTAAATTTTCTTTTCGATAAGAGTTCAGGTAATATGTATAGGATATCATGATTGAATCTTGTTATTGTCATCGTAATTTTTATTGATAAAATAATGAAAAATATAATAAATAACATACTAATTTATTTATTTAGCACTTAGTTTGGAATAATATTTTTAGTGATGCATAATACACATATCACATATGGTATTTTTGGAATGGATTGAAATATGCTTTGTATTTCCTTTCAATTATTTGACTTATAAAAATAATTTATTTATTTCTTTATAATTATATTTAAACAAAATGTTTATTACCAAATGCATAATCATTATATGCATAATTTCATAATTTTCATTACATATTTGGAGAGAGATTTGTTGTCATAATAGTCTTACATGATAGCCTCCAATCAAAAATACCTACAACATTTTCCATGACAACCTTTTTAGTTTTTAATCAGTTCCCACAATTTTTGTTTCCGCCGTCTCCTTTCTGACGAGACTTTCTCACCAACTTCATTTTTTTAGACTAATCTCACCAACTTCATTGCTTTCCTTTTTACCGTGAAATTGATATTACGTCCGAAGAATTATTACCGCAATTAACCAAAATTTATGATCATAGCTATAAAAGTTAGGTGAATTAACAACATTGAAAATCAATAATTTTATTATAAATAATGTGTAAGGGTAAGGCTAAGATCGACTTTTCCATACCTAAATGTTGTAAGTTACTTGGAAAACTATCACATTATTCATTATTGTATTTTAAAAATAATTTAGCAGTTTGATGAATACAATTCTTTATTTTTCTAGTTGTAGCGATTTAGAAAACTCTAGAGGCATTTTTAGCCGTTCACAATAATCAGAAATTATTTTCTTGAAAAGATTAAAAAAAGTTTACTACTTATCCTCAAGTACTAACTGTTTTTTTTTGGTATTAACAAACTTTTTAAAAAAATTACACCAGTTTTACAGTTTTAAAAATAAATTATGCCGATGTAGACGCAAACACTTAGTGCTTCTATTTAATACGGAAAAATGTATTATAAATTTATAATTTTGACGATAGTTTTAAAAACTGGACCAATCATCGAATCAGTTAAGGTATTGAATCAGTGAGTTAAAGGTTGAACTGGTGAGTCATTAGTTGAACTATATGACTCAATTTTTATTAAAAAAATATTCATATTAAATATATTTTATATTTATAAATTTTAATAAATTTATATCTTATTTTAAATTTCAATTTTTATATCTTATTTAAAATTATTTTTATTTTTATTTTGTAAAAAATACATAAAAAATTACATGTTAAATTGTATATTAATACAAATTAAAAATATAAATAATATGTACATATATAATATGTTTGCAATTGATATCACAAAATAATATATGTAATATCTACATAGATATTATATTATTAAATATATAATTTAAAATTAATAATATACTATAAAAGTTATTTAAGTTGTATATATTATAAACAAATACATTAGAACAAGTAGTCATTGTTATATTTAATAAGACTCTTTGTTCTTCCATTAAGAGATTCAATTATTATTATTATTATTGTGGTTTATAGTCCTTTAAAAAAATAAAAAAATAATAAAAAAAAAATAAGGAAAAAAAGTGGTTGAACCGGTTTGACCCACTGGTTTACCGGTCCGGAAAATTGACCAGTTCAATCTAGTTTGAAACGAGTCGACTACATTACTGATCCAATTTAAAATTCAGACCGGCTGGACCACTGATTTCCGGTCCAACTGGTCCGACCGACCGGTTCGATCGGGATTTTAAATCACTGATTTTGACTTTGATTACGAAAAAATGGAAATACCTTACATATTTGTCATAGTATAAAACGGATTTAATAAATGTCCTAATTATCATTTCATATTTTATAACCTTTTGGAAATCTCTTTCGTAGAAATCAATAATGTATCTTTGAAAATTTTGAATTTATCTTGGATCAGTGATTAAATTTAAGCTGGTTCCACAACAAGAGTGGGTCCCATTTATTACAGTAACACGGTACACGATCAGTTATTGTAAAATTGATTTTAGTTAAAATTGAAGTGTTATATATTTTACAAATAAGTTAATTATAAAATATAAAATTTTATCTAATCTAAAAATTGTTTTAAATGATTTCGAACCTATTAGTTAATTTAGTTTTATGTCAAAATTAATATTTCTTTTGATATAAATTACTTGAAATCTTACATCAGGTATAGGTACGTCTGGGTGAAATAAAATCATTGTAAACAATTTTTTTTTTTAATATTTAAAATTATAATAATCAACATTTGGTAATTTAATGATTAGAACAACATTTTTATAATTTTATAGAATAAGTTAATTGTAATTTTAAATGATGTATTGGTGAAAAGAGATTGGGATGGTTGTCTGGTAGTGCTCCAACCACTCACTAACGATGTGGTATTATCGACTTGGGAAGAGAAGAGAACCCCTCACCCCTCTCACAGCCACCAACTCCCGCTTTTTTGTTTTTCATTTTTTTTTTCATTTAAATGTGTATCTTATATCTTATATCTTATGTTTATGTCCAAGTCCAACAGATAAGCGAGTCACTTGTTTCTCACAATACTGCACACCCATCTCTGTTTTGGGCTACAATCTCTCTGTCAGTGCTCTATCCTCACTTGCATTTTACCATAATAATATATCATATTAATTCATTCCTATATTTGTCATGATCTGGAAATTCATATTTAGATCTACAATAATGATATAGATATGCTTTTCAATTTTATGTCATTCTGGGTGCGTGCTACGTGATTAACAACCTCATTTCATTATTGTTATCTTCAATTTTATTATGTGATGTGTGATTGATTCTTCATGCCATATTTCGTTTGCCGTGTTACACTCACATCTTGATTCAATTTCTTAGTTCTGCAAAATGCCACGGGTAGAGATTTTCTGTGATAATTTTCATGGAATGTGACGTGCAAATGTTTCATGTAAATTTTATTTTAATGTTAAGTGCAATCACATCTGATTTAAGAGAATAACTATAATTATTGTTCTCAAGGTGTCACTTATTAGTCAATTAGCCTTGTTTTTGTCTCTGCCAGGAATGCCACCAAATATCTTGTTTCAGTTTTAATATGGAAATTTAGCCTATTTTGGTTAGAGAGTAGCGTAGTACGTACTGTCTTGTGCCACAATAGCCATTTTTTGAATACTAGAAATGTCATGAAATCTTGTGACCCCATATCAGTGTGGTGTGTCAATAACTAGTTATCTTAACCCTCTTAAGTTATTCTTCAGATATTTAGCTTAGATCATGAGGGGGGGCTTGTGGCAACTTGGGCAATCGATCACTCGCCGTATTGGCCAGGGAGATAAGAAGGGTGTTGCTCGTCGTTGTTTTGCCTCAGAAGCTGAGCTGAAAAAGACAGTGTTTCATGACTTCCATGTTGCTAATGGTGGCAAGATGGTTCCATTTGCTGGATGGAGCATGCCAATCCAATACAAGGACTCAATCATGGACTCAACCATCAACTGTAGGCAGAATGGTGGCCTCTTTGATGTTTCCCATATGTGTGGGCTAAGCCTCAAAGGGAAGGATGCTATCCCATTCCTTGAAAAGCTAGTCATTGCTGATGTTGCTGCCCTTGCCCCTGGAACTGGGACACTGACTGTTTTCACAAATGAAAAGGGAGGGGCAATTGATGATTCAGTCATTACTAAGGTGAAGGATGACCACATTTATTTGGTTGTCAATGCTGGGTGCAGGGATAAAGATCTGGCTCATATTGAGGAGCATATGAAGGCATTCAAGGCCAAAGGTGGTGATGTGTCATGGCACATCCATGACGAGAGATCTCTACTTGCTCTGCAGGTCATTTTAACATGTTTTTCTAAGTTGACATCATGCTAATTGTTAAACTCACACTTTCAACTACTTTTGTCTGTTATGCATTACCAATCTCCTGCTGCTTCTGAGGTTTTCTCTTGATATCTCTATTTGCAGAGTTGAGAAACATATTCCAAATATTGAAGTATTCATGCATTTGTGTTTTTCCCACTCCCTTGGTTTTAAATATTTTTAGATAGATTATGTTTATCGTTTTTTTGGTTGTAAATTTTCCTCAATCTGTTTCACTTGAGATGACTGTGATGTGCTCTAGAGACATTAAACATTAAACCAATGATTCAGGAAATATTCTTAATACTCTCATATCACCTACCATTTGTATCTCGTGTCACATACTTTTTGGCCATGTTGCTTGTTATCTTTTCCCCACTGAAAATATTTAAACTTAGTTTAGTGTGGTCATTAAATGACCATGATTCACTTGTTCAGGTGATTTGTACTTATCTTAAAATATACAAATAAACCAAGGTTTGTTTTTTTAATTAATTAACTGTTCCTCACTGTAACATCAGTAAAGGATTCTTATTGTCTCTGGTGCAGGGGCCTCTTGCTGCCCCAGTTCTTCAACACCTGACAAAAGAGGATTTGAGCAAGCTATACTTTGGGGAGTTCAGTGTGTTGGACATCAATGGCTCACTGTGCTTTCTTACCCGGACTGGGTATGCTTTTCTTGTCATTTCCTTTACCAACATCAGCAATTTATTCTTGAAAGTTCATCCAAGTTATAATCATCTTATCTTAAATTCAAGTATAAAAAATCTTACCTTAAATTCAACCAGATGGGTTGATGTAGTGGTTAAACACTCTGCACTTACACATTGGGAAACCATTTTATCTAAAATTTTGTCAAGTTAGTAACAGTCACACTACTGTGAATAAAATTAGTCAATGACCTAATGAGCTGATAGATATCCGTAGCAGATAAAAAAAGAAAAAAACTTACCTTACATCTTGTATCACTTTGGTTATCTTGCCTTTCCATTCAATGAAACACTAATTTTCTTAATGTGAATGAGTAGTTGTAATTTTATTTTGCATGTTTGTGTTATTAGCTCAGTTTTTCAGGGACACCATGCTTAATCTCATTGGTTTTGGTTGTACTTGTAGCATGCATATTGCATAATAACACTTTCTTCATTATCATGGACACTTTCAGGTATACTGGGGAAGATGGATTTGAGATCTCAGTTCCTTCAGAGCATGGTTTAGATCTTGCCAAGGCAATACTGGAAAAATCTGAAGGGAAGATAAGATTGACAGGATTGGGTGCTAGAGACAGTCTGCGACTTGAAGCTGGATTATGCTTATACGGGAATGACATGGAGCAGCACACTACACCTGTTGAGGCAGGACTCACATGGGCTATAGGGAAGAGAAGAAGAGCAGAAGGTGGTTTTCTAGGAGCTGATGTTATCCTTAAACAGCTTCAAGATGGTCCTTCCATCAGGCGTGTTGGTTTCTTTTCTTCTGGTCCACCTCCAAGAGGCCACAGTGAGATTCAAGATGAAGGAGGTAAAAACATTGGGGAAATCACCAGTGGTGGATTCAGTCCTTGCCTCAAGAAGAACATTGCTATGGGGTATGTCAAATCTGGATTGCACAAGGCAGGCACCAAAGTAAAGATTATTGTTCGAGGAAAAGCCAATGAAGGTGTCGTTACAAAAATGCCATTTGTACCAACAAAATACTATAAGCCAACCTGATTCACTTCTGTATTTATACCTTAAACATTTCCTGCCTTGTTTACAAATTTTCCCATAACCCGAGTGTTACAGTTAATGTTAATGCCATTGTCTTAAATACAAGGCTTTCAATTGCATTCATAAGTCCATATTTATTTTCATACATGTACGAGTTGAATTAGGCATGTTATCTTGAAATTATCTGACATTATTTCCTGTACATCCGTGTTCGAAGATTTGAGCAGGCTATAATTTGGCATGTTATCTTCTTGCAATATGAAAGATTGTTTTCAGGAACGTGTGTTTTATCTATGAAAGATGTAAATATGAAATATTAATTGTGCCGAAAAGATGCATCTCTCTCATTATCAACAGCCAAATTTATTTATATTTTTATGTTGAGTAATGTGCCGTCATAAATGTGTAATGCTGTCATAATATGATTTTACATGTATTCTTATAAATCATATTTAATGGTATTTATATGACTCTTTATATTTGTAACTGTTATAGTATTCTAAGAGATATTTTAAGTCTATGAATATAATGTATTGTAGAAATGGAGCAAAAAAATATAATAAAATTAATAACAATTTAGCCCAAATTATCTTCCTTTAATTAAATTTTTTATGCATAATTTTGTACAAAGTAAATTTTTTGAGTGTTAGATACCAACACCACTTCTCCATTACTACCATAAAATTGGTATCAAAGATCCAAATCCTTGCAACAAAACAAAATGAAGAACAATAGTCACAAACAACACTCCAATAGCTAACATCACAATTTATAGAAATGTCAAGTTCCTTTATTTGACAAAGAAATTTATGATTTTTGGACTATAAAAATGAAGACTTTGTTCCATAGTTTTAAAAACCGGACCGGTCATCGAACCGGTTAAGGTACTGGGTCAGTGGGTCAAAGGTTAAACCGGTGGGTCACTAGTTGAACCGCATGACTCGATTTTTATTAAATTTTAATTTTTCTATCTTATTTTAAATTATTTTTATTTTTATTTTGTAAAAAAATACATAAAAAAATTACATGTTAAACGGTATATTAATACAAATTAAAAATATAAATAATATGTACATATATAATATGCTTGCAATTAATATCACAAAATAATATATGTAATATTTACATAGATATTGCATTATTAAATATATAATTTAAAATTAATAATATACTATAAAAGTTATTTAAGTTGTATATATTGCAAACAAATATATTAGAACAAGTAGTCATTGTTATATTTAATAAGACTCCTTGCTTTTTCATTAAGAGATTCAATTTTCATTATTATTTTTGTGATTTATGGTCCCTTAAAATTTTTTAAAAAAAAATAAGAAAAAAAAGTGATTGAACCGGTTTGACCCACCGGTTCACCGGTTGAACCGGAAAATTGACCGGTTCAACCCGATTTGAAACGGGTCAACTGCATAACCGATCCAACTTCAGATTCGAACCGGCTGGACCACCGGTTCCCGGTCCAACCGGTCTGACCGGTCGGGTCGGTCCGGGTTTTAAAACACTGCTTTGTTCACCTCTTTGGATGTTGCATAACTAATACAAACAGGGTATGAAGATCAAGTCACTATAGCCGTTCAACAAGCAACATTGAAGAAAAAGAAAATCACAAATGCTAGAGTTTTTGGGATGATTCAAAGAGGAGTACTGGCCATATTTTCAAGGATTATGAGGACAAAAACAACAAAGGAAGCATGAGAAATTCTTCAACAAGAGTTCAAAGGAGATTCAAAAGTGATGATAGTCAAACTTCAATCTCTTAAAAGAGATTTTGAGAATGAAAAAAATGAAAGAAAATGCAAGTTTGAATGAATACTTCAATAAATTGTCTGAAATAGTGAATTAAATGAAGTTCCATGAAGATACAATTGATGATTGAAAACTTGTTGATATAAAATTCTTATAAGTTTGATTAAACAATTTGATCTTATGGTTGTTGTTATTGAAGAAACTAAAGACTTGTTTACCATAACTATTCATGGGGTCACTTAGTTTCTATGAGCAAAAATTGTTATGTCACATTGAAAAGTCAGTTGAAAGCATGGTTCAATCCAAATTCATATATATTATCTCAAAATGATAAATCAAAAAATAGTGGTATAAGTCTTTTAGAGGTGTTAGATTTAGAAGAGGAAGAAGAAGAAACTCATGTGAAAAAAAGAAGATACTATTATGAAGAGGAAATAATGGAGAATCAAATAATGATGTAAAATTTGCAAGAAAAATAATAATGAAGAAAAAGATTACTGAAATAAAGACAAACCACAATGTTATAATTACATAAAGTTTGAGCATATTCAAAAAGATTGTCACATTAGTAATTAATAACACAATTTATTTGTTGAAATAACAAATGGTGAAGGGAACTTATTCTTTGCTTGTCAAAAAACAACTCAATAACATAAGAACGTATGACATTTTGACGATTATAGAAACTCAAAAGGATTGTTAAATTAGACAATAAAGAGCATATATGTTGAAGTAGAAGATAAATGTAATATTGAAATTTATAAAAAAATAAAGAGATAAGATAATTCATGACACTTTTTAAAAGACATAATTCACCAACTTTTTAAAAGACATAATTCACCAAAATATATGTAGACAAATCACATCAAAATTACCTTTTTTTTGTGTAAAGGGAATTTAAAAACTTTCGTTCTATATGGTCATGAATGGATAACTTGTAAATAGTTTAAAATATATTATTATAAGCGAAGATTCATATCCCGCATTTATTTCTAATTTTGTTAGAGGACCCATCTGAATGTGTCAAGATCGAATATAAAAACATAAGCATTATCAGAAGTTCATAAATAGAATGTAATGATCAAAGGGAGGATTTTTAGTTGAAATAACTGGGTGAGAGGAAAGATTAAATAAATTATATGAGATTTTACGTTCTATTCCACTGTCTTCATTGTGCAACAAAAAAAAGGAAGATTCATATATAATACTTTATTGGTTTGTTGCAAATTAGTCTTAAAACAAGAATATTTATTGTAAAAAAGTAATTAATGCAAAATAAAATAGATTGTTCTTTAGAAAAAAAAAAAAAATCAAACTACACACTTAATTTGAGTACTATATATAGAAAAGGGAGCAGTGGGAAGGGAACAATATCCAAAACATGGTGCAAGAGTAGAACTCCAATACCCTCCATATATATTATGAGTTTATATATATATAGTTTCGTTTATACATATTTGAGTAAACAAAAATTTATCTAAGATCAAATGCTACTTCCTACCAAATAATTGAGTTAGTCAGTTTTCTTCTTCTATCATTTAAATCGAGACACTTGAAGTTGTAAAGAGCAAAATATTGACAAATAATATAAATTGAATGAAAAATTGACCAATTAACATATTATTATGCCCCTTAAGAATAAGGTCAAAGATAACTTGAAAAAACATTGAAAGAATCTCAGAAACAGTAATCAATTTTTTTTAATTGATCCTGTTGGATTAAGTATTGAATAGTTTGACATGAATTGATCCTTATTGATGGCGTTGGTGGCTTTACTGCGTCTCACATGAATTGAAAGTGGAAAGGTATGACCTAAGCCTAAGGGTTGAATTTTCTGACTTACAAAGTCTGAGACCCGGAAATGGTCCGCCAACCCAACACATGAAGGCCAAGTCTAATCTTATTGACATTTTTTTGGTAATAGAATAGTCAATATTTTCCGTACCTCACTTCTTCCTTTCTGTCTTTGTATAAATACATCCACCCAACCCAACCCTTATTTCTCATTCTCATCTCAAATCTCAAATTTCTCAAATCTAATCCCTTTCAAACCCCAATTCAATCCATCTCCTCAAATACAAAACATACACAAAGAGACCATCCAATTAATCCCATGGCTTCTTTACAAACCACTGCTATACTCTCCTCATCCTTTTCTTCTCTACCCAAAGTCAACGCCTCTCTCCATGTCCCTCTTCCTCCACGAGTAGTCACTCATTCGGTTCCAAAGCTACCTAAGAGAAAGCTGCAGATTGATCAATTTAATGGATCATTAGAGAAGAATGCCGTCACCAAACGAATTTATGAAGATTTGTGCAGCCCTAGCAACAAATCTAATAAAGCCACTATTCAACTCTACGCAATTCTAGAGGAAGTTGCCGACAGAATAGAAATGCACAGAAACATTGGCGAACAAAGAAACAACTGGAACACCCTTCTTCTAAACTCCATTAATATCATCACTCTCACTGCCACAGCCATGGCTGGTGTTGCTGCAGCCACCAGCGGTGACACTGCACCTCTTTTTGCCATGAAACTGTCTTCCACTCTCTTGTTTTCTGCTGCCACTGGGATGTCACTTATCATGAACAAAATTCAGCCTTCGCAACTGGCTGAGGAGCAACGCAATGCCACAAGGTTGTTCAAACAGCTTCACACTCAAATACAAACCACAATCGCTATTGGAAATCCAACAGAAGAAGATGTGAAGACTTCAATGGAGAAGGTCTTAGCGCTTGACAAAGCTTACCCTCTTCCCTTGTTGGGAGCCATGCTTGACAAGTTTCCCGCCAAATATGAACCTGCTGTTTGGTGGCCTTCATCACAGTTCCAAAGAAGAAGTAAAAGAGAAGAAAGCAACAGGAACAGGATTAATGGATGGAGTGAAGATCTTGAAATGGAGCTGAGGGAAGTGATTGAAGTGGTAAAGAAGAAGGACTTAGAGGACTATGAGAGGCTGGGGAACATAGCGTTGAAGATAAACAAGAGTTTGGCGATTGCAGGTCCTTTACTGAGTGGGATTGCAGCAGTGGGGTCTTCATTTGTGGGAAATGGGTCGTGGGTTGCATTAGTGCCTCTCGTGGCTGGATCATTGGCTTCAGCAGTTAATAGTCTTGAGCATGGTGGACAAGTTGGCATGGTCTTTGAAATGTACAGAAACTGTGGTGGATTCTTCACGCTCTTGGAAGAGAGCATTAATGCCACACTTGAAGAGAAAAACATGGACAAAAGAGAAAACGGAGAGGTGTTTGAAATGAAGGTAGCAATGAAGTTGGGAAGAACCGTTTCAGAGTTGAGACGTCTTGCCTCTAAATCTGCTTCCTGTCGCATCCAAGGAATTGCTGTAGACGAATTCGCTAGCAAGCTTTTCTAATTGAGACAACATTTTTTCAAGAACAACACATTCTTTTATTCTTTATTAATTAATTCATTGTATAGTCCTCTGACATGTATACGACGTACATTTCATTAAACAACCATATACATTCTTTTGTTCTTTATTCATTAACTAATTGTATAGTTCTCTGAAATGTATACATAGCCTGAGACAGGAGAGAAACTGTGTATATATATTTTGAACCTATTTCTCAAAATTTTTCTTGTCTATGACACAATATCTTTATTTATTACGTTGAGTTTTTTTTAATTTGCCTTTTATGGAGATGGAAGATGATATGTTGCTATGCTGCCTACGCATGTGTGTGATAAAGCTCTTTCACGACGTATTAAAAAAAATTCAATGTAGGTAAAATTATTACTATTATTATTGCATGATATAATTTGAATCACCGCATGTTTACGATTTCCATCGATATTCCATCAATGTTTTTTAATTTATAAAAAATTTAATAAAACTTGACTATAATCACTATTATAATTTATCTTATTACATGCGACTTTTCTTACGATTTTTTCACAAAAATTTGTAAGAAATGTTATTTTTACAATTTTTTTTTTGCAAAATTTTATTTGTAGGTAATACTTTTGTAGATAATATACTTTTGAAAATTTTAAAATTCGCAAGAAATTTTTCTGCGAAAAAAAATTCGCAGGAAAGTGTTGCCTCTAAGATTGTAGATTATAAGCCTAATACTCAACATACAAATCAATGTGTAAGGTAAGTGTTGCCTCAACTTATATACTCTTTAATTGTTTTATTTTTAATTGATGTGGGACTTGAATTTTTTTTAAAATATTAAATTTATAAATTTAAATATTTTTTTTGATTTTTCCTGCGGATTAAAATTGGCAGGAAAATCCGCAGAAAAAGTTACTTGCAAAATTTTTCTACTATTTAGTAAACATTACTTACAAATTTATTTTTGCAAGAAACAAAATAAAATTCTTCCAATATTTTCTCAAATTTTTATCATGAAATTTTTTTTATGATCATTAAAATTGTAGTAAAATTTGCAAAAATTTCTTGTAGGTTATTTTTCATAAAAAAATTTGTAAGAAATATTTGTAAATTATTTTTCGCAAATAAATTCGTAAAATTTTTTTTTGAAATTATTATTGCAAGAAAATTCGCAAAAAATTTCTGCGAATATTTTTTTTAGAAAAATTTGTAGAAAAATGACATTTTTCTAGTAGTAAATATATGTGAAAATTACTGGCACCTTCAATAGTATTGGCCGTTCATACAACTATAACTTGTCCCATGACATGAACCGTAATTTATGTAACATTCAACATTTAGTATAACTTCTTCACTATAAGAAATGTTATATATACTTGTATATATAAAGTGTTATTATAGGTATAAAATACATTGATATAAATCTATTTGACATATAATTATGCATAATTTTAGTATTAATTTTGAATGAGATTTAATATATATTGTGTGTCACTATAATCTATACTTATATTTTTTAGTAATATATCAACATATATTATATTTATAATGCAAATAAAAGTATTTTTTAATAATAAATATTATGTCACCATAGCCTATATCACTATATGACAATTTTTTTTTTGTAATAACTGCATGCTGAATTAATTATGTGCATGGAACCATATGTTTGGCAAGAGTTGAGAAATAATCCTAAACATAATGCATTTCAATACTCATCTTTACTCGTGCTTAAAATTGAAGTTGTTCCCATATGAAAGACTTCACTAAAATAATTTAGTAATTGTCCAAGTTCAAAACATTAAAAAAAAAAAGTAATTTATCACATTTTTCACTCAAAACTCCAATTATATCAACACTAGGCGTATCCATGCTGTGGATCTTGCAGCCATAGGTCCTAGAAAATTCATAGTAATAATGTAAATTCTGCCTTATTGTGAATAATTATTGGGTTTGCTTTTAACAAACCATTCAAGAACCCAATTACCATAAATGTGAATGGCTAGTTAAGTTACTAGTTGGTCTCGTCTATATTGGAGAATCATCTTCTAAACCAAGTTGGCTAAGTCCAGTTATAGATTCCTTTAGTCAATTAAGTTCAGTTAGCCTCTTCAAGTCGGCATAGTGATTTAAGTTACAAATCCGAATGATGTAGATGCCATGAACTTTGAAAAGTTTATTATGAAGAATATATAATTGAAAATTCCTTGGATACCCGTTTTGATTATAGGGTTTTTGTGCCCCTCGTCATTAGGATTAACAGTCACTTAACACGTGTATTCATTATCCATGTTAGCAACAGTTTTGAAAATTTGACCAATATGGGTATTTGTTAACACGTTTGTGTAACCCATTATATCGATATGATTTGGAGATTAAATAACCCGAAAATGAGGCACATAAGTGTGAGCAACGTTGAGGTGGAGACGGTGTGGTACGGTCACCCGATCGTGAATGAGGCGACGGTGGTGGTGAGACCGCATGAGTGGGTGAGACACCTTGTGCTTCTGTGAGCTTGAAGGTAGGGTTGAAGAAGAAATCCTTTGCGAAGGAAATAATTGGGTATTGTAGGAAAACTATGCCGCATTATATGGTTCGGAAAATGCTGATTTTCAATGGTGAGCTTTCGAAGACATCTATGGGGAAGAACTAGAACTTTGTGTTCAAACAAATTGTCATGGACATGGGACCCTTTAGGCAAAGTCGAATGCGAAAGGTAATGAGCAATCCAAAATCAAATTTTCATTCATAAGATTTTCCATGTATACGTGCATTTTGTTTCGCATATAATCATCATTGAGAAGATGGTGATTTTCAAGAGTTATAGTGGACATAACATGGATGAAGGAAGAAGAGTATGGTGTCTAGAAGGAAGGTTTAACCTATTTACACCTCAGACAATAGATGTCCCTCATTTTCGGATCATTAGGTCCCAAATCATACAAGTATCATGTATAACACATGTAACATTCTTTGCCTTGAATAGGGATGGCAACGGGGTAGGGCATGTACGGGTTTCATGATACTCGTTCCGGTCCCCGCAAGTTAAACTCATTCCCATTCCCGTCCCCATACTCGTCGGGTATAGATTTTCATCCCCATCCCCGTTCCCGTCGGGTATCGGGTATACCCGTACCCGTACCCGTACCCGTACCCATCAATTTATTTTTTGTAAAAAAAATGATATTTTTAAATTATTTTTTTATTATATTATAATTATAATTAGGTTATTTCTTTATCTCATATTATAATAAATAATTATACATAAAAAATATTAAATTTTTTTAATATAATTAAATTGAAAGTGAATATTAAATTAAAAATAAGAATGGGGACGAGTATGAGTACGGGTACGGGACAAGTAAGTACATACCCGTACCCGTACCCGTACCCGTACCCGGTCAAACCGGGTATTCCCCGTCAAAGTTGGGACGAGTTCGGGTATTAACCTTTCATATAAAAAAATATTTTCTAAAGTATCAATATTTTATAAAAGCTTCATAATTTTCTCCAACAACTTTATTAAAAACATAGTAAATAATGTTAAAATTATAACAAGACACAAATCGACTTTTTAAACAAAATTCTATCGATTAAACATAAGAAGTTATAATTCAAATAAAAATTCATTAAAAATACTAAGACTAATTTTAACTCGATTTCACACTAATTAGAGTAAAATCTTTCTTATATATGCTTCTCTCTCATCAAACATATCTTTTTGTATATCTATATTAATCCTGCAAGCATAATAAAGATTATTGAATATCTTTACTGATTATATTCACTAGTAAAAAATTAGTATTTTACGTCACTTCTTTAACGTCGAAAATACAAAAATCCGACGTAAAAAAGACGCGGTGACATTTTTGTAATTTTTGCGAACTTTTTTACGTCGGACCTAGTATGGTCTGATGTAAAAAGTCAAATCTACGTCAGATGTATGTTGTGTCCGACGTAGATTTGACATTTTACGTCGGACCATATCAGGTCCGACGTAAAAAAGTTCGCGAAATTTGAATAAGAGAGTGCGAGACACACCGCGTACATTCACTCTTCATCACTTTTCGTTTTTTTCTCTGTAAACCCTCTCTCTCTCCTTTGTTACTGAATCGTTCTTTCGTCTTTTGCAGAGGGGTGAACTCTTTGTTACTCATTCGCACACTATTGCAGCTCATCAGGTATGAATCAAGGTTTCGTTAACACTTTTTTGCCTCGCATTGTTATTGTAGCTATCTGCTGTTCTATTCGATTTTTTTGTTGTTCTATTTGTATAGGTCGTTGCCCTTTTCTTTTGCGTTGTTCTACGAAGCAGAACGGCCTGTACTGCTTGTAGAACAGCCCGTTCTCCAAGTAGAATGACCCGTTCTCCAAGCAAAACAGCCTGTTCTCCAAGTAGAACGTCTCGTTCTCCAAGTAGAACGGCCCGTTCTCCTTGCAAAACGGGCTGTTTTGAACGGAGAACGGGGCGTTCTGCTTTATTTTTATGTTTTTTTTACTACTTTATTACGTCGGATTTTTGGAATGTCCGACGTAAATTTACGTCAGTTTTGCAGGACCGACGTAAATTTACATCTCCCACATCTACGTAGATATTTTTTCTGACGTAAAAAGTTCAAAATATCCGACGTAGAATACTTCTTTTGTACTAGTGATTTTTAACGATAATATTTTTTTATTTATAAATATACTTAAATCACATATAGAAAAGATTTGAATACTTTAAATACTTACTAATTTTAACATGAGAGTTCTTTTTATAGATATAATGAATTATTTCACTTGGAAACTAAATAGTCAATGATGAAGACCTCCCATCCATTTTTTTTTTGGCAAGTACACCCTCCATAGATTATGAGTTTTTTTTTTTGCTTTTAGTTTCGTTTATGCATATTTGATTAAAAAAAATTATTTCAGATCAAATGCTATTTCCTATTATATAATTTAGTCGGTTTTTTTCTTCTTCTTTGATTAAGACTAAAATATCGTTTAAATTGAGACACTTGGAGTTGTAGAGAGTAAAATATTGAACAATACTATAAATTAAATGAAAAAATTGACCAATTAACATATAATTATATGCCACTTAAGAATATGGTCAAAAGATAACTTGAAAGAAAAAAATATGAAAGAATCGCAGCAACAGTAAACAACTTTTTCATAATTCCTGTTGGATTAAGTAGTCGACAGTTTGATATGAATTGATCCTTATTGATGGGGTTGGTGGCTTTACTGCGTCTCACACCCGGAAAGGGTCCGCCAACACCCCAAGGCCAAGTCTAATCTTATAAATATTTTTGGTCGTAATTGAACTATTAGGGTAGACCTAACTGAAAAATTTAAAATAAAAAATTGATAATTTAAATTCAATCACGTGATCGATCGATGTTGTAAGGTATTGAAGTTTAGAAGCAATGAGTGGTGGAACGTAGCCTCCCGCTGGCGAAATATTGACTGTTTAACATTCACCTGTTGATGGAGTTGGTGGCTTTACTACGTCGCACATTCAATTGAAAGAAAATCCAAAGGCATGGCTTTAAATTTCTCATTTACAAAGTCTGATATCCGGAAATGGTCCACCAAGGCCAAGTCTATTCTTATAAATATTTTTGGTCGTAATAGAATAGTCAATATTTACCTTACTTCCTTTCTGTCTTTGTATATAAATACCCCCACCCAACCCAACCCTCATTTCTCATTCTCATCTCCAATCTCAAATTTCTCAAATCTAATCCCTTTCAAACCCCAATTCAATCCATCTTCTCAAATACAAAATATACACTAAGAGTAGGCAGAGAGACACCCTCCATGGCTTCTTTACAAACCACAGCTATACTCTCCTCTTCCTTTTCTTCTCTACCCAAAGTCAACGCCTCTCTCCATGTCCCTCTTCCTCCACGAGTAGTCACTCATTCGGTTCCAAAGCTACCAAAGAGAAAGCTGCAGATTGATGAATTTAATGGATCATTTGAGAAGAATGCCGTCACCAAACGAATTTATGAAGATTTGTGCAGCCCTAGCAACAAATCTAATAAGACCACTATTCAACTCTACGCTATTCTAGAGGAAGTTGCCGACAGAATAGAAATGCACAGAAACATTGGCGAACAAAGAAACAACTGGAACACCCTTCTTCTAAACTCCATTAATATCATCACTCTCACTGCCACAGCCATGGCTGGTGTTGCTGCAGCCACCAGCGGTGACACTGCACCTCTTTTTGCCATGAAACTGTCTTCCACTCTCTTGTTTTCTGCTGCCACTGGGATGTCACTTATCATGAACAAAATTCAGCCCTCGCAACTGGCTGAGGAGCAACGCAATGCCACAAGGTTGTTCAAACAGCTTCACACTCAAATACAAACCACAATCGCTATTGGAAATCCAACAGAAGAAGATGTGCAGACTTCAATGGAGAAGCTCTTAGCGCTTGACAAAGCTTACCCTCTTCCCTTGTTGGGAGCCATGCTTGACAAGTTTCCAGCCAAATATGAACCTGCTGTTTGGTGGCCTTCATCACAGTTCCAAAGAAGAAGTAAAAGAGAAGAAAGCAACAGGAACAGTATTAATGGATGGAGTGAAGATCTTGAAATGGAACTGAGGGAAGTGATTGAAGTGGTAAAGAAGAAGGACTTAGAGGACTATGAGAGGCTGGGGAACATAGCGTTGAAGATAAACAAGAGTTTGGCGATTGCAGGTCCTTTACTGAGTGGGATTGCAGCAGTGGGGTCTTCATTTGTGGGAAATGGGTCGTGGGTTGCATTAGTGCCTCTCGTGGCTGGATCATTGGCTTCAGCAGTTAATAGTTTTGAGCATGGTGGACAAGTTGGCATGATCTTTGAAATGTACAGAAACTGTGGTGGATTCTTCTCGCTCTTGGAAGAGAGCATTAATGCCACACTTGAAGAGAAAAACATGGACAAAAGAGAAAACGGAGAGGTGTTTGAAATGAAGGTAGCAATGAAGTTGGGTAGAACCGTTTCAGAGTTGAGACGACTTGCCTCTAAATCTGCTTCCTGTCGCATCCAAGGAATTGCTGTAGACGAATTCGCCAGCAAGCTTTTCTAACTGAGACAACATTTTTTCAACAACAACACATTCTTTTATTCTTTATTAATTAATTCATTGTATAGTCCTCTGACATACATATATAACTTTACGCCGGAGAGAAACTGTGGATATATTTGTACCTACTTCCCACATGTTTTCATAATGATACACGTTTTTTTTATTGATTACGTACCTTGCATTTTATTTTTGTTTTTGAAAGATTGCCTTTTATGGAGATGGAACGTGATATGTTGCTATACATGTGTGTAAGGAATTCAGTTCCATGTGATAGAGCTCATATGCATGCTATACGACTTATACCAAGGAAAGAAAACAAACCAATATATAATATTGCCTCATCTGGGTTGGGAAAATTTTATTATTGTATATGGTTCTAATCTAAAATATTTCGTACTAAATTTTTTAATACAATGATGAAATTAATAAAAATCAATATTTGTAAAATTATCTAATAATATTAATATAAGTTTGTCATGTTTAAACAAACAGGAAAACAGATCCCTCCAGTAGTATCTGCCTCTTCAGCCAATTAATGACGAAATAAAAAGGAAGAAAATTATAACTATTTATTCTTGTGATGTCTCTAATGCCTTTAGACAATTTCACTGACATAAATGTGTGTATCTTAAGGATTTTAATTTTTCTTGCATGAATTTGTAATTCGGGGTAATAAAATCTTCGAAAGAAGGTCATAATTAATGAGGTCCGGAATTAACGCAAAAAAAAAAAAAAAAAAACTTATTGGATGTCTTAAGGGTTAAACAGTTAAACAAGAAAAGGACAACATCCTCATATTAGCATGCCATATAATTAGTTTTTGAATGAAGTTTATCATTTTTATAATTTTTCATTCATCAAAATTATAGTGACTATTTGAAACTCTATATATATTAGACTAAATTTTTACTGTTAGACCGATTTTAATAATTTTTCTGTCTTTTATATACAAATCAGAGGAAGAAAAATAAGTCAGCATTTTTGGTTTCCCTCATATGTTGATTTAACCTTAGCTCCCTCGGACATTGAAAGCCTGTGGACATATATGAATTTGTCTTTTGGGTGTTGAAATATCATTTTCATAAAAGAAAATGGCACAACAGGTGTGCAATATGCTCAGAAAGTAATTTAAAACCTCGCACAAAACCCAACGAGGGAGTTGAGAAAGAACAATCTTCAATTTTTGAAGTACTTGGATTTGAAACTCAAAAAAGAAATTTAGACATAAAAGAGGAAATAATCGTAAACATACATGTTGGAAGTAGATGTGGCTGATTGTTGACAAATATTATATATTGTCCATGTTGGACAGATCGAGTTCATGTTAATGTTTTTTTTTATAATATGAATAATAAACATCTCACTACTTGCGGCTTTGAAAAGTCAATGATTTATATTTTAAATAAATAGAATAGTTGTCATGGTTTCAGAAAAAAAAAAAGTTTTAAATCAGATAAGGAGACAAATAGCAATTTCATAAAAATAAGCATTACTCAAACTATTTTTCCTTTCTACATGAGACAACTAGACAGAAAAGAATTAAATAATATGTTGTTTTCACTTTGTAAAAAATAAAGTCAAGGAATTAAGGTTATACGTTATAGCTTAGAAGAGTTTGCTGGCGAATTCATCGACGAGAATTCCGTCTGGCCGACAAGAAGCTGATTTTGTGGCGAATTCTCTGAGCTGTGACACACTTCTCCCCAACAACAAAGCCACCTTCATCTCCAAGAGTTCCCCTTCTTGTCTTCTCTCAAACTCTTTCTCTTCTACCTCAGCTTCTATTGTCTCCTCCAACAGTTGGAAGAATCCGCCGCAAAATCTGTACATTTCAAACACCATACCCACTTGCCCACCGTGCTCAAAAGCATTGATTGCAGAAGCCAGTGACCCAGCCATAAGTGCCACTATAGCTCCAAGTGAATCATTTCCCACAAATGCAGACCCTATTGCTGCAATGCCAGTGAGTAAAGGACCTGCTATGGCCAAACTCTTGTTGATCTTCAACGCTATGTTCCCCAGCCTCTCATAGTCCTCAAAGTCTTTTCTCTTCACCACTTCAACAACCTCCCTCAACTCCATTTCTAGCTCTTCACTCCATCCGTTTTTTCTCTTGCTCTTCGCATTTTCTTCTAGGGTTTTGTTTTTCCTTTGGAACTGTGATGAAGGCCACCAAACAGCAGGTTCAAATTTTGAAGGAAACTTGTCAAGCATGGCTCCCAACAAGGGAAGTGGATAAGCTCTGTCAAGGGCCAACACCTTCTCCATTGAACCCTTCACATCTTCTTCCGTTGGATTTCCAAGCGTGATCATGGTTTTGATTTGTGTCTGAAGCTGTTTGAACAACCTCGTAGCATTGCGTTGCTCCTCAGCAAGTTGTGAGGGCTGGATCTTGTTCATAATAAGTGACATTCCAGTGGCAGCAGAAAACAAGAGAGTGGAAGATAGCTTGAGAGCCAAAAGTGTTACCCCTGCACCACTTGTGGCCGCAGCAACACCAGCCAATGTGGCAGCAGTCAGAGTAATCATGTTTATGTTGTTCAAGAGTAGGGTGTTCCAGTTGTTTCTTTGTTCGGCAATGTTTTTGTGCATTTCAACTCTGTCAGCTACAGCCTCTAGGATAGCGTAAAGTTGCATGGTGGTTACGGAGGTTGTAGGGTTGGATACATCGTTGTGTAACTGAGTGATGGTGGTGGCATTATTCTCAAATAATGGGACTGAGTCTGTGAACGTTAACCCCTCATTCAGCTTTCTGGCAGTGGTTGGTATTTTTGGCATTGAGACATTTACTCTTGGGAGCTTTGGGAGGTGGATTGCGGCATTTACTTTAGAAAAAGAAGAAGAAGAAAGTAGAGTTGAGGTTATGGAAGCCATCAAAGTAATTTTGTGTTTGTTTATTAGGACATAAAGTTAGGGAGAAAAATATATAGAAGGATTTGTGAACTAAAGGTGGGTGCATGCAAGTATTTATAATAACTAACCAAAAGAAATGAGAAGAGTCAAATCAAAAAAAGGAGACCATGATGGTTGACCAAAAATTCATTGACTTTGTCCGTTCAAAATTTCCAGCCACGGGCTCGCGCCGTTGGGCTCTCAAATCTCAACAGGCGACGCAGTAAAAGTGTAAAACCATAAGGCTTCATTGCAAAACCAAATAAAATCAAGAATTGTATCATATATACGCAAAAAGCTACCATTATAATTTTCTTTTCATACTCTTCCTTTTCTAATTCAGACAGCACAGCAGTATAGGTTTTACTTATTCAATTTTCAATACAATGGCCACGACCATACGTGGTCATTAATTTTTTCAAAAACAAAATATTTTGAAATTGTGGTGGTAGGTGTAAAGACACCTTCAACACTGGAATTTCATAAATGAAATAGATTGATGTTTTCTTTTCGTTATTTCTAATTCATTTATTTCGAAAAATATAAATTCAAAAATAGAAAAATTAATCGGGGGCACTTTTCTAATTATATATACTTTGTAGAGTTCTCTGTATTTGTTCATTAGATAATGTTTTTCTTTTCCAATTTATATGTTATATTTAGTTTTTGGAGTGTCTATGGCCGTTTGAATTATCTAAACTGTTCCACTCAGCTAATTTTGAAATTTCTTTACACAAAATCTTTGTCTGGACATTACCACCAATTTCATATTCAAGAACAAAGAATGCCAAGGCTGCGTTTGATTAATTTAGAGCTAGCACTGGGTAAAAAATAAGTCCAGAATAAATATTGGTGTCAAGAAATATTGACACAATAAAATATTACCACAAATATATGAAACATTATAATTGATTGATTATTCAGTATCATGATCATGAGTACTCGTTACTCTTGTTGCCGTAAAGTTTTTGATAATTAATTTCGTTTTAAGATCAGAAGATTTCTTTAATTAATAGTTAGAGAGTGACTTAAGGACGATCATTTGTTTGGATAATTTTTTTAAGAATATTTTCTAATAAAAGTAAAAAATAGTACTTCCTTTGTCCTCTATTATAAACAAAAAATATATATACATTGTTTATTTTTAAATATAAGTAAATTTAACTATTTTAATCTTATTTAATGATATTTTCTTTAAAATATTTCTCCTTTAATATATGACTTTTTAGTTGTACTATTTATTTACATTTAAAACAAAGACAATTTAAGAAAAATATTATTATAATAGTAAAAATTAATACAAATAACTAACTTTTTTAATACATGTAAAAATGATTTATTTTTCTTATAATACGGAACAAAAAGAATACAGATGTCAAAAAAATAATAAAGGAAACAAATTGTTTTCAAATTATTATATCATAAAATCATTTTTTTTTCAACTATAAACTCACTAACCTTAATTAGGATCAGAAAGAAATTAAGTACACAGATCAATTATTAGGATCCCCTGTTTTTCATTTATTTAATTCCTTCTTGTTGTTGAGCTTTCAAATATGTTTCAAAGAACCGAGAGTTCAGAGTTTTGCTTTTATAATTGATTTAGTATTATGTTAATTTATTTTATTTATTAAGCTTAAAAATTCATTATATATTCATACGACTATCTATTGTTAATGATTTTGGTTATACGACTTAATTATATTTGGACAACATAAATGTAAAGGGAAAAGACGGCTTGAATTCAAATTATTAAGATTAGATTTAGATGGATGAAAAAGAGTGAATGAAATACAAAGATAATGTTTTGAACTCGTGTGTGAATATATATATATATATATATATATATATATATCTACTAAAAAATTTAGAAACAACTTACATAATTGTAATAAATCAAAATGAAGAATGCAAGCTTTATAAATTAAGAAGTTTATTAAGTTATCAATGTTTCATAAAACACATTTATGTATTGAACAATAAAATAGTCTATTTTTTTTAGGGAGACTTTCTTAGAATAGTAGATTTAAGTCTAACTCAACCTTACAAAATCGGTTTGTAAGGTGAGGGTTATTTTTCACTTATATATTATTTAATTACCTAATCTCTAGTTGATGTGAAATTTAGGTTTTTCCCAATACACCCCTTCATGTCCAGCACTGTTGGGATTGATACGTGGATAAATGGTAGGTAACCCTTTTTAATGATCTAGGATAGGCGACCCTTTTTAAGGATCTAGGATAACTCTGATACCATATTAAAATAGTAGATTTGAGTCTAACTCAACCCTACAAAACTAGCTTGTAAGGTGAGGGTTGCTCTCCACTTATATATTCTTTAATTGCCTTATATATTCTTTAAATGGTGGATGATCTTTTTGAATGATCTAGGATAGACAACATTTTTTAAAGATCTAGGATAACTCTGATACCATCTTAGAATAGTGAATTTAAGTCTAACTTAATCTTACAAAATCGGTTTGTAAGGTGATGGTTGCTCTTCACTTATATATTCTTTAATTGTCTTATTTCTAGTCGATGTGGGACTTGAATTTTTCCTAATACACCTTCTCACGTCCAGCACTATTAAACTTGATATGTGGATAAATAGTAGGTAACCCTTTTTAATGATCTAGGATTGGCATGACTTGAATTTTTATCAATAAACTCAATATTTTTTTTAATTAAAAATCAAAGATAAATTTCTCAAAGTATTAAAAATTATTGAAAGAATTCACATCTTTTGATTTAGGTATATTTTCATACACACACTAAAAGAACAATGTTATTTGTGAATTATATCACATCATAATAATATCAGTCTCTATTTCTACCTCCAATAATATGACTCTAGATTTTCTATCAAGAATTGAAGAGAAGAAAAAAAGAGAGAAGTGTTATTATATATTCTTCATAGTAAACTTTTCAATGTTCAAGGCATCTATATCTAGGCATGACAATCTAACCCGCCCCTGTGGGTACCCGTCCGAACCCGCTCCGATTTAGATGGGAAAAACCGGTGTTCATCGGGTTCGGGTTTGGGTTCGGGTTTTCCCCGATTGATAAAATCGGGGGCGGGGGCGGGGGCGAGAGATCGGA